CTGAAGAGCAGCTTGCAACCGTCACGTTGCATTACCATCTGTCTCTCCAGGCGATCCTCATCGAGAACATATCATTTCCGATGAGTGAGGTCGGAGACGGAGCAGCAATTCGTGCTGACTTGCAGCGACAGCTCAAGGTCACGTACGTTGACCCTATCATTGCGGCAGGGAAGCGTACCACGCGCCCTCCAATTGTCAACATCAATCATGACTTACGGTTCGTAGGAGCAGCCAGCAATTACCTTCGACAGAAAGCTTCTTTGTTCAACGGCTTCCACGCGCTGGGAATGTATATTGAACTGGAGTTGCGGGCCCGAGCATGCGTGGTGATTCATGGATCTTCGTTTTGGTCAAGAATGTATAGCCAGGCGAAACATGCGTCATCAGGCGTGCATACACTGTCAGTCGAAAAGGTGCCACCACCGGACAATCGGGTCAGGTTCAAATTGGGCTTCGCTATCTACGAGAAGCAGCTGTTCTGCGAGAAGATGGTATCCACGTGCTTTGTTGAGGCATCGAAAGTTCGCTCATGGGACGAAACTGTCCGAACCGACTCAGTCGCTCACCCGTCGCTTGTCGAGATTTGGGAGGACAAGAGTGAAGTCAAGACGTCCACCAGGATTTCGCAGACATGGTTTACGGGAGAACAGCAGCAACAGATCAGGTCGGGTGCCCAGGGTGACACGGTCGCTGAATCGTCCACAGTCACCTGGCAGGATTTTGACATCGCCATGACCGTTCCCGAAGCCTACTACGACAACAGGCACTACTGGTTCAGGATCGACACCTATGCGACCCTGAACACTGGTTATGTCAAAGGGAGAACGTTCTATTGCTCTGGATGTGAAGCAATGAAGTTGGCTGAGTGCTACGCACAAGCCTTCTTCAAGCCGACCGGAAACGGGTATCCTGGACACTGCATTGGGTGCGCGCATACTTCAGCCTTGAAGATGCAGCATCAAATCGGCTCCTTCAATGACTTGATCACGTCCCAGAAGTACACCTTGGCTTGCGCAAAGCACCTTTATGACCTGAGGCTTCAATTCGTGGATCCTCGCGTGGACATCAAGGAGTTCCTCAAAGTTTGTGCGGAGATGGTCTATGAAGACATCGGCAAGACGGTTTCTCACTACGGTGGTCTCCGAATCACAGCCAGTCAGGCCATTGAGTACGCGGCATGGGGAAAGGCCAAACAGTTGGCATGGGACAGAGGGTACGACTCCGAAGGCAAGACATGCTACATCTGCTACTACGACGCCGGGAACTGCGCTTATGCTGGTTTCATGAGGATGCTTTTGACTCCGGAAGAGCGCCAAGAATGCTACAGAGGGTCAGTCTTGCCCAAGGAAGAGCTCCTGGGTGACACGGTGGAGCTGGCGCTCGGGCTTCTTACAATTGCAATGAGACACCCAAGTCATTTTCCGAATTGGGGTGGCCTTGAGGGAGCAAATGCGTGCGCGAGGGGAATCGAAAGATCATTCTTCCGCTACGCGTCGGCCGAAGCTATCGAGCTGATCACGGTTGACTCCCCGCGCAAAAGGACACCGCCCAAGAAGAATGAAGCAGTCGCTGAGATCGTCAACAACATGTCCGCTGACCTCGTGATTGATTTCACAGTGATCGTCGATGGTGATATCTACCCTGTAGAGATTGCGAGAACCGACGAGACACAGGCCGCTGACAACGTCACGGACGATCCAGGGTTCTCAGTTGCTCCACCAATACCTGCACAGGATGTAGATGTGGATGCGCAACCCGAAGAAGAACAAGGTGCAGAAGGCCCTGATCCCAGGCATGCAATTCGTGAAGGATTTGTCGCGCAGCTTCAGGACTATGTGGGCGTACTCGCTCAGGGCGAAATGTCAGTCGGAAGCGACCGCATCACGTTCTATGTCGCTTGTGGCAGTGATCTACACACTCTGTCCAATTGCACAGAAAATGCTGCAACCCGGGATCTGGTACTTCGAGGCGTCCAGATTATCAAGGAGAGCCTTCTTCGATATCCACGTCGAGTACCTCCACAAGAGGCTGAGCCAATGGACGTTGACACCACAGACCATGTGAGTGTTGCATCCTCGGACCGACGACCCAAGGCCAAAGCCCGACCGCGACGCGGAGGCGAAGCCGTACGGGGTGATGTGGTCTTGATCCGTTATGAGAACAAACACAATCTCTGCACGGATGTGGAGAACCGTCGGGGCCTACATGATGCTTGTGGCGTACCACTGCAGGAATCGGGACCAGAGAATAGCCAGCGAGTGGTGGACATCATTGAGCAGCTTTCGGACCATCGCGACCGACGCCTACCTCAACGAGGAGACCGTCCTAGCTTTGCTTACGATGACAACACTCATAGCTACACCAATGCAGGCTATGAATCCATCGGCGGCGGAAGGCCAATCCGGTGCGGGATTCTCGACCTGATCCCAACAAAGGGTGCAAGCTTCATCAACAATCGATGGGACCTCGTGAACGAAGTTGTCCTTCGCAACATCACCCGTCAGCGCAGACTGAACGCGGATTGGGCGCTATCATGCATCCAATCTGACCTGCGCCACAGAATCGCCAGGCGCCCAGGCTCGGAATGGCTTGACAACAGGTGCCAGGTGGCATTCAACAGTGTCATCAAATGTGATGAAGGAGGGTGGGTGATGATCGAAGATTTGGTGAGGCATGAGCCACTATGGACCCATGAAAGCAGACGCATCACCGAAGCGGTCTCAAGGACCGATGAGCAACAGAAGAAGAGAGTGTACAATGAAAGACTTCAGCTATTGTTCCAAGGGAACATGATTGCAGCCACGAAACGCAACAAGGCCAAGATTCGGTTGCAGTTCCTGGGTGTGAGAGTGAAGGACCCCGGCACGGAAGTTCTTGGATCAGCAGGTTCGAACAGGTTGGTATCGGTTCAGGACCAGATCACGGAGATCCAGAACAACGATCATTGCCGGCATGGCCAGAGATACCTGAACATTTGCAACGGCTGGGTGAAGCCATGGGCAGTTCGGGCTACAAGTGGCCACTCTGCGCACTCAGATCCCCAGAACAATTTGCTTCAGTTGGACAAGAACAGGTTCGCAATATCTCCATCTATGACCCTCTTGCAACGTCTTGGAGGTGCGTTCCACGCTACGGCATGCCGCAACTTGGATTCCATTGTCACGCAAGGCATCATGCCTGGTTCGGAGGACCCCGACGGGGACTTCGACCATAGGCGCCAATTCCGAGGCAACCAAGGTGGCAGACTCCACAGCTATTGGGGGGTGTTTGCGCCGTTCGATCACCGGAACGCAACGACCAAGATGCGAGTACATGGACGAGACGCCAAGCACATGCCATTGGCGGTCCTTCATGTCCCATCGCAGGACCTTGCACGAGAGGATGGACGTATCACAGACAGCGGCATCATGATCGTTGGCCGAACGATACCTTTCCATTTCGTCAAGGAGGTATGGTTTTGCGTCCCGGATCCTCGAGATACACACTCTTTCGCTCTGGTGGAAAAGATCTACGATGAACGGTTGGAGAAAGAGCTGGTGTTGGACTACAATGCATCACCGTTGCTTCCTGAGTTCGAGAGATACCGAACGCCAAGCAAGATCATGGAATTGCTTTGCGAGATGCCTCCTGGACCCCACGACACAAGCAAGGAGCAGATCATTCGAGACCTCACGACTGTCCTGGAGTCCCACAGGGAGAACACGGTTCGGCATCACTACATGGACAAAGGAATCAAGTTTGTCATCAAGAATTGGCGACCCGAAGACCTACGCAGAGACGAGGATGGACGGAGAATGAGGGTATGCCCGGCATGCTACAACATCGTTCCAGCATGTTTCTCCCGATGCACGTCTTGCTGGTCACAGTTCGTTTCGAGCGGATATTACCAAGGTTCTCCACAACGGGAGACTCCTACGGAGATCCCCAGTGACTTCATTGCTCAGACAATGGAAGCCGCAGCAGCCGCAGTGCCTGAGGCGCCCGAAGAGGAGCAGGAAGCCATGGAGGTAGAGACCGTTGCGGAACCTGAGGAAATCCCAGAACCATCTGTCATCGCGGAGGACGATCCAGAACAGGAACCTGATGAAGAAATGGACATAGAGCCAGGAGAGGACTTTGATGACGCAGTTCCAGAAGCAATCGCACAGGAACGTCGTCCCGTCTTCGTTACCGGCCAGTCTTTGAACATCGATCCTGAGCTACAACTTGCACGTACCGCCATGCAGCCATCCTACTATTCTGGAAAGCGAAATGCCCATTGCATTGACGCGAACATGACCGCTCTTTCGTACATGGCATACGTGGTATGCAGATCCATCTACAAGGCTTGGTCAGGATTCGCAAAGTGGGCGACTATGCCGTTGTTCCAGATGAGGGAAAGTTTCGCACTTGGCCAACGCTATGATGTGCTCGGAAAGTGGGGATCTTTGGCGGCAGTGGATAGGGAAACGGGTGTGAGCAAGGATGTGACTGATGAGGAGATCATTCGCTTTGCCAAGGAGCCTGAGAACCTCAAGCAGTATGATCCCAACGGGACTTACACCTTAAAGCGCTTCCGGACGAACCAGATGCTCTCGTTGCTTACACGGGGAGCCAACATGATGCCCTGCCGGGCTTGCCCGGCGGCGCTGTTTAGAGTAAACGTTTTGGGTGGGCGGGGCGGGGTGTCTCTGTGGGTAGGAGGAGTTCCCTCGACTGGACCAACTCGAAGATCTCCGCAGTTTCAAAGAGAAAAGTTTTATTGAGCAGTTTTGAGTTTCTATTTTATTTACGTATCGTGCGCTTTTCAGAATGGAGCCAGAAGCTGAGTGCGCGCACAATCTTAATGCTTATCATGGACGCAGAGCTCAGGCTCAGGAGCAGGGAAAATTTTGATTGTATGGGGCTAGCATTCACAAGCATCGTTGTGACGCATGACTGGACAGTTTAGCTTCACGGTAGCTCCATACTTTAGGACTACGAAAGCGGTAGAAGGGTGGCCCTGCGGCCCATGGTCGGCCATGAGTGGCACAGGACTCGGATGGCCCGCTTTAGTGCCACCATACCGCAACCGCCTTGAAGAGTGGTTTAGCACGCCTGAGAAATTGCATGCCTCATTCGACACGAGGGAAGAGCTTGTATCATTGCTTAGGGCTTGCGATAACACGCTTCTTGAAAGTAGCCTGCAGTTGATTGCGGATGCACTTCTTGAATGGCATGCAGACAATGCTCGCACAGTTGCGAGTGGGCGCAGGGAATCAAGGAGGCGCTTGACAGAGTGCTTGCCCAGTGTCCCGGGAACTGGCCTTAGCTTGCATGAGCATTACAATCAGATTGCACTTCAGAGTCCACTTGCGTTGCTTCCGGTTCTTCGCAAGCGGAAGTTAGCTACTGATAGGGTCGTAGATCGCGGTGCCAGGGCCACTGAGGAGATACGGCTTCGGCAGGAGTATGCATTGCGTCTTGCAGCCATCATGCAGGAGGCGCAACTGCCGGTGTGCAAGGTGCTTGCAGGGGTCAGCAATGCCGAGGAAGCCTGGCCACGGCTGTTCGGGACCCGTCGATCCAAGACATTGAGAAATCGCTTTAGAGCTTGGGACAAGTTTCGGGAATGGTTGCTTTATAGCCGTGGCAGGAGCTATCCGGAAGGGGTAGCTGATGTGCTAGATTATGCCAATGAACGATTCCAGGAAGGATGTGGAAAGACAGTTCTCGAAAGCCTGCAAGCCTCTCTCAGTGTAATTGAAGGTGTAGGGCGCGTGCCGTCTACGCAGCAGATATCTCAGGATCCCACATGGCAGGCGCAGCTCAAAAGTTACACGGCCGATTTGGTTTCGGCGGCACCGCCGGAGCAGCCAGCCAGCATGCTCACTGTTGCTATCGTTCTTGCATGTGAGATCTTCGTTTGCACGCCCGGGGAGCCTAGTTACTTGAGAGCATTGGGCTTTGTCTGCTTATTGATGGTTTGGGGATCGCTTCGGGCTGATGATGTTCAGGGGCTCTTGCCGCAGACCATGCTTCTGGACGAGCGAGGGCTTAGCATTGATCTCGCGCGGTCCAAGACTACAGGGCCCGACAAAAGGACCCACACCGTCAAGGTCTTCGTGGAACGGAGTATCTCTCTGACAGGGCATGATTGGCTGAAGGCCGGATATGCACTTTGGAAGGATTTCGATTTTGAGAGGGATTATTTGGTTTTGAAGGCCAATGAAGGTTTCACGGAACCCCTTGAGAAGTCGGTGCCTTCCTCCACGGTGGCCCTTTACTTCCGCAAAGTTCTCAGTGAGTTGAAGACGCCCAAGCGTGAGGGGCGCACCTGGAAGGCCAATGATCAGCGTCCGCTGCTCCCAGGATACACTTCCAGTCATTTTACGGGCCATTCTGCGAGGAACTTCCTTAGCTCGGTCGGAGCGGCCATCGATGTCGACCCCAGGGAGCTTGATTATCTGGGTCGCTGGAAGGTAGGTGGCGAAGGTTCTGCAACCTACATTCGCACTTCTAGGCAGGTTGTGCATCGTCTCCAGAGTCACATTGCTTGTTCCCTTGTCACCGGACAGCCAAAGCACTACATCGAGGTGGATTCCATCAAGGCTTTGACGGACTATGCAGCTAAGGCGGGGGAGAGCGAGTCTCAGGTTCGTCGCCGTCACACCCTCCTCGAGGGATCCAAAGGCTTGGGCGGGTCGTGGCCAACTCTGGCATTGGAAGTGGGTGTTGCGGCACCACCTTCTCCAGTCGAGCAGGTTTCGATGCCAGGCAGCCGGGGGGATTACTTCATCGTTACCTCTCGCACCACAGGCCTGAGGCGTCTGCACATGTTGGGCTGCTATGTCAAGCCTGAGAATTGTTATGATGTGAAATTTGTCAGTCATGTCGGCGCGGAGGACGTCGATAACATTTGCAAAGATTGCAAAGCAAGAATGAAGGCTCAGGCCGGAGAGGAGGAATCAGACCCCTCCAGCAGTGACAGTGGGAGCGAGTCGATGTGAAGGCAAAAGATGCTTTCGACTGCTGTGGATAGGCTGTGCCCTGCAAGTCCTAGCCAGAAGTTGGCATGAGTTGCTTATGCAAGGGCGCCTTGAAGTAGATCCACGATAACAGTCCATGCTGACTTTTCTCAGGGCATCTTGAAGTTGTTTCGCGATAACAGTTCATGCTGATTAAGTGCACGTGCTGGCGCTGTTCAAGCAGGAGGAAGTCTCACTCGGCGCAGGCCGTGAGGTGCCGGCGGATTCCGCATCCTGTCACAGGCCTCAGGGCGACGGGTGGACACATCGCAGTGCAGCTAAAGGCCTCAGGGCGGCTAGCAATCCAAGTCCTACAGGGCCACAGGCCGGGCGCGGCCTTCGCATCAGGAGTAGCGGGAGTTAGTTACTGTTGTCGCAATGGCCGCCACAGATGCCGAGAAGCGCGAGCTCATAACCAAAGCAGATAGCGATTTGCAGTTTGTGCTCGGAGAAGCTGGCTT